CTCTATGTGTGACGGGTGTGTGTGTGTGTTACCTCTATGTGTGACGGGTGTGTGTGTGTGTGTTACCTCTATGTGTGACGGGTGTGTGTGTGTGTGTGTGTGTGTGTGTGTGTGTGTGTGTGTGTGGTGTTGCCTCTTGGTAGGGTGTGGTGTGTGGTGTGTTTGGCCCGTCCAGTGTGTGATGGGTCGGTTGGTGCAGTCGCAATCATGCATGCTCTCACGCAGGGCCAGGCGTCTATGCCGCGCTTCACACTCAGTGCTCACTGTCTGGTTGCTGAGTCTAGACACGTGACTTCCCTTCGTTCTCACTCCCCAGCCACACGTCTCCGAACACTGTACACCGACAATTACTGATCAATTAGCGAGCTAAATTATTACCCCTGCAGTAGTTAACGCAAAGTAACGCTTGTACGTTAATGGAACGTTAAGTGGATAACGCATTATTAAACTATTACCGCAGATGGCGCTTGCATGATAGATAAATCATTAGACTGTTATATTGTAATAAAAAAAAACAAAAAATTCTCATGCTACGCGCGCAACATACACACATGGGTGCGCACACACGCATGGCAACGCATGCACGCACGTACACGCATGACTACACACCACGTGCGCGCACGCACACACACACGCACACACACACGCACGCACAACACCACGGCAGGCGCGAACGCACGCACGCACGCACGCACACACACACACACACACGCAAGCACACACACACACACACGCAACACACACACACACACACACACACAACAACACAGGCACACACGGACGACACACTGGCGCGTACCTCTGACCACACTGAACCGTGTACGCACTCTGGATGCACCGCACGCTGCGCATGCACCGACTGTCGCGCGTGCGGTCGCCGCTGGCTCCCGACAGTGCTTCGATTTCAGAGACTTGAAGTTGTTGGCTGCTGGGCGGGTCGGAACGGAAGGCAGATGACATCTCTTCTTCCTGAACCTCCATTTCTCCACATGTGTTGTTCTTCTGTTGCATTCTGGCTTGTCGACATTTATCAGGTTCTGTTTTGTTATATATTTATTCACTCTTTGTTCTCTTTTGACACATCTATTATATTTAGGTTTTTTCTGTCCTCTTTTGTTTTGTTTTTTTTTTTTTTGCGTATACTATATATCTATTTATTTTTCTCTTATTCTTACTTATAATGTCTATCTGACTATATATATATCTACTTAATATATATACTATGCTGTACTCTATCTCTTTTCCTGTGTTGAGTGTGTGTTCTTGTTCCAATCTATGTATATATTTTCTATTTTTCTCTAATATATGTGCCACTATTTAAATTCTATTTATATTACTACTATTTAATTATTTTTTTATTCTTTATTCTTATCTTTATCTTTTTTGATATTTATCTACTTTCTAATATTACATATATATAGCTAAACAGTTCGGTGCAACTTCAATAATTGCGCAAGGACTATCTCGATCGAACAATTCAAAAAGTTTTACAAAGTTCTTGATGTTAGATCCTCCAATCCGATGTTAATAAAAACTAGGGCCCCTGGTTTGTATCCTTAATCACATGATGGGACCCGTAATACTTTGCCGCTGATCTATTTTTAATTTTGACCCAATTTTGAATGTACACGTGTATAACATCATACACGGCCCCCGGGGGGGGGGGGGGCACTCCCCTTTGTTAAGGTACGGAACGTGCCGCTGACAGGTATATTTTTCCGGAACATCATTATTGCACGAGTATATTTTCGAGCATCATTATTGGGCCCAGGTTATCTAGATACACACCCATCAAGCTGATATTGGACCAATATTGGCAAAAACAATATTGGGTCAAATATCACCAAGCAAATATTGGACCCCATAAAAAATAGTATAGAAATCAGTATAGAAATAAGTATAGATAGTTATCTATACTGATTTCTATGATTGACGGCATATAGGCAGATATTGGTCCCAATATTCCCCATATTAGAAAACAATATTGGGGCCAATATCACCAAGGCGCGATAGTTGGACCCATATCTGGCCTATATGACAAGATAACAATAACCGAATGTGCAATATTGCAACAGGGTTATACTTTTTAGTGGGCAGTATTTGGGAAGGGTGTATTTAGAGCGCGCACGCGGTTTGCCGACAGGTCAGGTTTTCAAGGTCCGAGGACCTCCCTACCCTGTTTTTTTCTGAGGCGATGTGCCCCCCCCCGACACGTCCCAAGTCTGTTTCATGGCGTAAAATCAACCGGGAGCACATCTAGCAGTAGGATGGCGCCAACGCTACCAGGAGATTTATTCCACCCGTAGATATGTATATTTATACACATAACTAATATAGTACTAGTTATATAGAGTGTGTAATAGTGATATAAATCTAATGACTCCACCTCTCATAAACAGGAATTTTGACTCACCACTGCGGTTTGACCTCATTCCGCGAGGTGGCCGAGTGTTAGGCGATGGACTGTATGCCATTGGGCTTGCCGCGCGTGGGTCGAATCCATCCTCGTCGCTAGCATTTTTTACCCGTTACTCTTCCGCGATTATTTTTTTATGGAAATTCGTACAAAATTATTTGTTGCGCGTACAAATGTATTAATAGAAAACTCTGTTTAGTGGCTATAATATATATATATATATATATATTATATTAATATATGATATAATAGCGTATACTCACCTGGTGTCTATATTAGGCGGTGAATTTTACACTGAACTCGTTACATATGCGAGAAATATTTAACCAAGGAATGTCATTCCTTCAAAGTATCTCTCGATGCAATATATAAAAGCTTTTATAGATTTTCATGTATCTAATTTGCTGCCAGCTACGAAAGGTGCGCTAATACACCTGAGAAGTAGTGGTTCAGAACCCAACGACACCTCTCAGACCTTTCTATCGGAAACTTCCTAATATTTGAGAAGTAAATTAACTTAAGCGGCGTCTATACACTATAGACTAAAACGGCGGGTTTTTAAAACCGCGTTTTAGTAAAACGCGCGTTTTCGGTGGTGCAGCGTCTACACTGTCAAAAACACCTCCGTGAATGCGGGTTTTAAGTATTTCAGTTGTATCACGCATATCTCGGTATTGTTGCGCCACCTGTAGCCGAGTCTGGCGTGCAGCTAAACGCGGGTTTCTGTCATGTTTGTCTACACTACGGCGCCTGACTAAAACGCGGTTTTAGCAGAGGCCAGACCGGCAATATTGCGGTTTGTAACCCGCGTTCTTAGCAAAACCCACATTAAAACCCGCGTTTTAGCACAGTGTAGATGCGGTAAACCCGGGTTTTAGCATAGTGTAGACGCCGCTATACACTTCATATTAACCATTGTAAAAATACTAGCGACGAGGATGGGATTCGAACCCACGCGGGCAGAGCCCAATGGATTAGCAGTCCATCGCCTTAACCACTCGGCCACCTCGTCCTAGCGGGTTGCGACTGGTTAAGCTTAAAACGTGTTTAGAATATTAAAAATTCAAGTTCGTTAAACGGTTGGCGCAATTATGCCACTGTAATAATTTTCATGCATACCTTTAATATTACTACATATAACTACATAATTTCCTAAATAGTAATCGTAATAGTAATATTAATTATTGAGAAATTAATATTTAATGATTATCAAATAATAAATAATAATCTATTTTTCTTTGATATAAAATATTATTTTTTTGTAATGTAATTAAGTAATTTTAATAATTACGTAATTAAAAAATCAATCAATCGATTTATAAATATAATAATTAAAGTAATATTAATATTAGTTTTTACAGCGGTTCACAACGAGATTCCACCAAATGCATACGTTAGCACTGAAAGTCTATGCCGCTATAGACCACCCCGGAAACTTGTTTTCTACTTGAAATCTAAACTGCACAGGCTACATGCTCAACTTTGTGAGTTCGGCTACACATCAAAGGCTCCATTAGAAGGGTTAAGAACCGGTAAGATGTGAGTCACACAAACGCGAACGTGCGCGAGATAGAAAGTATCTCGAGGTACCCACTGATATTATATATATATATTATTATATAATTATATATGTGTGCTTCTGTGCGTGCGTGCGTGCGTGCGTGTGTGTGTGTTCGCGTGTGAGTGTGCGTGTGCGTTTGCGTGCGTGCGTGCGTGTTTGCATGCGTGCATGCGCGTTTGTGTGTGTTTGTAGAAATATCAGTGGATTATAGATTTATAGATAGAAGGATATAAATGGCTTACCTCTCCCCACGAGCCTGTGAACCAGTGCGGGTTGCAGTGCTGGCCCCCGTCGCACGCTTGTTCCGTGTCGGGTTTTCCTGCACCCTCGCAGCCGAGCTCCGGCGTGTCGGTAAGACAGTGTATCTTTCGCGACCTCACGCCCTTCACACACTCAGCTGAACACTATAGCGGGCGATCGTGACACAAAAGGAACATAATTTCAAATTATTTAGCTGAGCAGGCAACGGTTTTAGAGAAATATGCATGAGGCCGTAGTATATATGGATGTAACCTTACTGTGGTATACATAGAGAAATATGTATGCGGCTCTAAGGTACATGGATGCAGTGTGGTATACAGCGAGTAGTATGGATGGGGCCGCATGATAATATAGATGCAATCAAGAGCTAATAAATACCTAGGTATCTATAGTATACCTAGTAAGTAATGAATTAGGCGTATGATATATGGATGCGGCATTATTAGGGTACAGCTATAGAAATATGAACGTGGCCCTAAGTATATGGACGCAATCTTACCATGGTACACATAGAGAAATGTGTATGATGTAGTAGGATATATGGATGCAGCATTATGTATATTATATTATATACATAGAGAAATATGTATGATGTAGTAGGATATATGGATGCAGCATTATGTATATAGTATAGATGGAGAACTATCGGTGAGGCATCTGGTAGGTGAGTAGGTGAGGTAGCTATCGGTGAGGTATCGTACCTCTCGTCCACTCCGAAAAGAACACGTCTTCACGCACGACCCATGTCGAACTCTGACGTCG